GAGAGCCCGGCTGCCTGCCTTCAGCCACTTACCCAAGAATATGTTTCTCTCACACCTTCTAAATGTCTTTTCCAGAAACATTCACTTTTTGAGAAACTATTAGAGCTTAGAACTTAATAAATACTTTGTAATGATGAGGAGGCTTCCCAGGAATCCACCCCCACTCAGCTTAGGAATGATCTTGGCTTTGAGATTCCCAGACACACGAGGCCCCCTCCTGCAGTCCTCCAGCTCTTGGAGGCCCATATTTGGACTTCCATTTGGGTGAAATCCACCCACCAGGAAAAGCTCATTTCCTCCCTCCCTCTGGCTCACACTCCCAGCCTGGAACCTTCCCCTGCAATATCCCTTGGCGGACTCCTTCCTCACTCCCTCCCTGCTGGCTGTGCTTCCAGCGAGTTCCACCCCATAGTAAACTATCTGTCATAAACTACAGAGTGGCAGATCTGTGCCCAGTGGTGTCCCCACTCCTTTGGGCCCCAACAATCTGTGGCTGCCCCCTTGGCACAGGTGCTAATTTCTCCCCCATTCTCATTGCTCTAAACTACCTCTTGAATGGATTCCAAAAACAGTTCACTGGCTAACCTTATTTTTTGTTTCATGTCCAAAGTCCTAAGCCACTGTTAAGAGCTTCTCTTTTTCTGTTACCCTCTTTCCCACCTTCCCTCTCCCTGGCCTTCTCCCCTTGCCTCCCCACTGCCTCCAAATGAGCTGAGTGTCCTAATGCCCCAGAGCCAAACCTGCAGGGTTCTGGTCCCAACTGCAGGGGCAACATTCTCACCTACCGCATTGGGATGTTAGGAGGATAAAAGAGTTAATTTACATTAAGCACCTAGAACAGTGGTACACAGTAGGCCTTCACATGGATGTATTGAACAAATGAGATGTTGGTTGTCCTGGAGATCTAAGGGCCCTTTGTGCCCTACTCAGAGCTTAAGGGGCTGCAATCTATGGTTTGTTTTTTTTAAAGATTTTATTTATTTATTCATGAGAGACGGGGGGGCGGGGGGAGGAGGGAGCAGGATGTGGGACTCAATCCCAGGACTCTGGGATCACAACCTGAGCCGAAGGCAGACGCTCAATCATCTGAGCCACCCAGGAGCCCAATCTATGGTTTTATCTGAAGATACAAAATATCCTTCTACCCAAGCCTCCCTCCCAACTTTAGAATCCCTACAACTAACATCTGTATTTAACAAAACACATGGGCAGGAGGAGAAACATTATTAACAATTATTCTATTCTTTTTCTAGAAGAGTTTATCAGATTAAATGGAAGAAGAATGAGGACTATAGCTGGATGGGAAGGAGAGAGTATGCGGCTTGTGTGGAGAGAAAGTCCAGGGGGGCACTATAAGGAAGGAGGCAACAAGAGGGCCCTGGGTCTTGAGAGAGTGAGAAAAGCTGAAGCAAAGGGCATGCAGAAATGCAAAGGGTGGAGAGAGGAGAGATACAAAGACAAAATTCATCTAGGTTAATGGAACCAAGTTCTTTTCTAAACCAACACACTTTCCTCCCCAACTCTGCCCCAGTCAAGACTGGGCTGCTTACTGCGGGCATCCTGGTCACGAGAAAAGAGCCTGCATTTCCAAGCCAGTCTAAGCTTGGAGAAAATGCCAATTCTACCACTGACGATTGACAAAGTTAACTGAACCTTTCTAAACCTTCTCTGTAAAAACAACATAAAAAACAAAAACTTAAACAGTATAGTTGTGAGGATTAAATAAGGGAAAGCCTGTGAGATGCCAGGTTCGTGCCAGCTCCTGGGAGGCACTCAAATCATTTAGCTTCCGCTAACTGTTACCCCAGCGCCGGCCCTGAGCACCCTCAGTCAGCTTTCTCAGCACAAACTCAATCCATAACCTCTTGCACAGTTTCATGTCTGGTCTTTGCATGTGACTTATTACATTTAATTCAGTTCAACAAAAATTTTGTAGAATGCCAAGCACTAAACTGAGTGCTAGGGATACAGAAAGATCAAGTCCCACTTGCTCCCTCCCCACCAAAACATGTAACCTCTAGGGGAGATTGGTGAGGATGTAGTTCGCACAGTAATGAGCACACCAGTAAGAGAAACACAAGGGCTGTCAGAACACATACAGCTCTCATATCGTATAATAAATACATACATAAAATCCATGTCATTTATGTTGTGTCAAGATGTCAGGGACATCTGCAGTAGAGATCTGCATAGACATCACAGTGGAGCTAACTTTTATGCTGGCAGTAGTTCCAAAGTTGGCACATAACTGAAAACTATGTAAGCAATCACCTTTAAAAAAAAAACAAAACCCATATTATTAATAAAATACAGTACACATGGTTTTTACATACAACCATGCATAGTTATATACGTGTAAAAATCTAAATAAAGATTATTTAATAAGGAATAAATATGTAAAATATAAGTTTATAAAATTTTATTACATAGAAGAAACCAAAAATATGAATTAGATTGCAAAATCAATGTTCTTCATATGTAAAAACTTTTGGTAAAAATGTATGGTTTTTTTTTTAATTTTTATTTTGGGGGCACCTGGGTGGCTCAGTTGGTTAAGCGTCTGCCTTCAGCTCAGGTCATAATCCCAAGGTCCTGGGATGGAACCCTGAGTCAGGCGCCCTGATCAGTGTGGAGTCTGCTTCTCTCTCCCCCTGCTCTTGTGCTCTCTCTCTCTCTCTCTCTCTCTCCGTCCCTCTCAAATAAATAAGTAAAATCTTAAAAAAAAAAAAAAAAGGTTTTTATTTTTAAGTAATCACTACACCCCGCGTGGGTCTGGAACTTACAACCCCAAGATCAAGAGTCACATGCTCCACCAACTGAGCCAGCTAAGTGCCCCAAAAATGCATGTTTATTTCTGGTAAATAAAGTCCTAAAGGGCCAGGATACAGCTCAACACAAAGCACATTCACACTCTTCAACTGGGGTTTTCTGGAAAAAATGTACATAAAGGCAATAGACTCGGGAAATCATCCTTTGATTCTTATAGGATCCGGTTGATTTTATAGAGTATTGGAAGAAAACTACCCTCCAAAACTTACTAGCCTTATATCCTTGGACAAATGCTAAGATCATAAAATCTCTAGGTTTTAAGAGAACTTAAAGATCACTAGTCCAACCTGTCATTTAGATGTTTCAGTTCCTCCCTAAGAAATCAAACAGCCTCTACTTAGATCATTCCAGTGGCTAGAAACCACCCATTCCACCTAAGAACACCTCCAGCAATAAGTAATTTAAACATGCAATTACTTCAAAAATTTAACACATCAAAATAATGTGTTGCATCAGAATCTTCCTGGCATTGCATCACTTTAAAAATATTATGAAGAAATTACTCTGCAATATCCTTAGTACATAAAAGGGTCATACAAACAAATCGCCAAGATCTCAGTAAATAAAAATATAAATAGAGAATCACAACACTTGTATTAAAAGATTCAGTCTAGGGGCACCTGGGTGGCTCAGTCAGTTAAGCATCTGACTCTTGTTTTCGGCTCAGGTCATGATCTCAGGGTCCTGGAATCAAGCCCTATGCCAGGCTCCGGGCCCAGTGTGGAGTCTGCGGGAGACTTTCTCTCCCTCTGCCCTCCCTCCACCACCCCCAATCTCTCTTCCTCCTCCCCCCACTCAAATAAATAAACCTTTTAAAAAATATAAAAAATAAAAGGTTCAGTCTAGCTCATTTAATAGGCAAAAAAAAATTTCATATCTTAATCCACTAAATAGCAGAGGTTATGAAAAGGATAATATGTAATATTAGCAAAGGAACAATGAAACACACTTAGAAACTGGTAGAAAAATTGTAGATTGCTACAAATTTCATGTATTTCCATTGGACAATACTCATTTGTCAAAGAACAAAGACCAAGAGCACCAGAGGTATGTTTTTTTTCCCTAAATCACACCGGAGTCTACTAATTTACCAACCAAGGGAGCACACACCACTGGAGACATTTGCGGAGCAGGGCCCTAAAGGGGGAAAAGTCGGGGTTGTTTTGTTTTCTTTTGTTTTGTTTTAAGTGTTAGGAGGGAGGAGTGCCTGATGGTTACTCTAATCAAGGGCTGAAAACCAGCACTCTGGATAGGTAGTAGGTTTAAACAAGTCCCATTACTCATTGGTCAGAAGAGTCTTCAGTCAGCTCGTGAAGGGGGGGGCAGGGTGTTCCTTAAGGTTCAAGGTCCTTTATTAGCTTCACCTGGTTAGAACCAGTTGGGATGAAACATAATTTTTGGTTTTAATATTTCCCAGGCAAGTTTTGTTGTAGACGAAAATTTGTCCCTTGTAGCCATTCCTTCAACTGCCCATTAACCAACTCCATGCTGGGCACTGGGAATACAGTAGTCAAGAAGGCAGAGCTAGTCCCTGCCCGCATGGAAATTGCCAACTGGCAATGTGATCTCATCATGAAAATGTTTTTGTTATTTGACCTAAAAATTCCACTTCAGGAAACCCATGCTAAGGGGATAATAAATAAAATGGTCAAATATTTATACACAAAGATATTCATCAGAGTATTGCTTAGTCAAAAAATGGAAACAACCTAAGCTTCCAACAATGTTGAAAAAATATAATATATTCTGAAGGTGGCTATAACGGTTTAATGACAAGGGAGAATGTGTATAACATTAAGCAAGGTAAATAATATAAAATAACATAGATTGTGGTCTCGGTTATATCAAAAGAATTTTTAAAGTACCTAGGAAGAAATACACCTGAAATGCTAACACTACTGGTATATATATGTTCGGTTATAAAGGGGTTTTTTTCTTTATATTTTGGTTTGTTTTTACAAAATCATGTATTAATTTTAAAATCTGGAGTTTGGCAAACCCTCTGCCCCCTCCAAAAAAAAATCAAAACAAAAACAAAGTAGGCAAACTGAAGAGTGCTCTACAAGTGGCTTAGCTCTGTGTTTACAGCCAAGATCCCATAACCTTGTGCCGTGTCTAAAGGCGGAATTTCCATGAGAATTAACTCATCTTTGTTCCTCCTGACTCTATAGAAACTGTGTTCTCCGTGGTTTACCCAAGATGAGCAAACAAGAGTGACACGGATTCTTCTGAAGTGGACAACGTTTCCCACTTCCCACGACTGATATTGTAGGACCAAGGAAAAGAAACCCTGCCTCTCCTTTCTACCCGACACGGTAGTTAAGGAAACTCCAAATAACATTCTCATCTTGAACCTCATGGCAACCCAAAGTGAGAAGAAGCTGAGTGATGTCAGTTACACTGCTCAGAGTCACTGGCAATGACCGAAGGCTCAGGATTTGGACGCAGGCCTGGCGTTACAGGTGCGGCCCTTGCCCCAGGCACCAGCAGGACCCTCAGCCATGGCAGGCATCCAAGGCCACCCTTGCTGTATTTGAAGAGGACTAGCCAGTTATTCAGCGAACACTGGTCTTACTGTAAGCTCAGCTGTGTCCCTTTAAAGCCTACCAAAAGGTAACAGCTGTGCAGACAGTGGGCCGATTTCACATATATTAATATAAACTCTCCCTCCCCCAGCCAACCCACCCCCGCCGCGCGCGCGCGCGCACAGACACGCGCGCACCCGGGACTCTTTTGTTCCTCTTTAACTTGTCTTCCCAATGAACACAGGAGAATGGAAGATGTTGGTAAAACAGGCTATGCCGGCACTCAAATTTATTTATCGAAGAGCTAAGTACCTCTACATACAAGTTACAGCAAATTGTTTTGTTGCCAACTGATAAAATACCTAAACACAAGCTTTGATTTCCTCAGCTGTCAAATGGATTGAACAGCGCCTGCCCTTCCTATCCTTTCCGTGTCACAGGGTTGTTTAGGGATCGACTGAAACAAGGAGGGTGTGAGCCTACAGACGGCTCTTCACGTAGGTAAGATGCTGTGAAGTGCAACCCCCGAGGCCGGGCCTCGGGCCTCAGTGGACTCCCCCGGGAGCCGGGACAGGCTAAGCCCAGCGCCCACGCGGACCTGACGTGATTGTGGCCGCCCGTGCCTAGCAGAAATTCCCGGGTGCCGGCACTGCAGATCCAAGATCACAGCCCCGCAGCAGCCATAAAAGCCGTAAAGGAGATCAAAATCGGCACCAGCGGCCAGCCTGAGGATGAAGTCCTCGACGGGCGCGCGCAGTTGGGCGCGAACCACCCCACAGGCACGCGCGGGCGGCGGCGGCGCGGGCTTGGCCCCCACGCCCGGCCCGGCCCGGCTCGCCGCTCACGTAGCGAGAGCGTGAGTCAGCGCGCTCGGCCGCACCCCTGGGCCCAGGCAGGGTTCCCTGGAACCGCGCCGGCCGCCGGCACGTCCCGCCGCCCTGCTCTGCAAGGCTGAGCGGCCGAGCGGCCGTCCGCGTGGGCGGCAGCAGTCGGGACGGCCACGCGGCTGTGGGGCTCGCCTTCCCCCCGCGGACCTTCCCCACTCGCCCCCACCCCCACCCCCGCGCTGGCCGGCCCGGAAGGAGGGGCGGCGGGGGAGGGGGGCGAGGATGGGGCCTGGGACGGTGGTCCTGCGCCAGCGGGAACTCGACCTTCGTGTCCCTGTGTGCTTTCCTTTGAGCCACACACTCGCCTGCTCACGTTTGGCGCAACCGGGCAGTTCCCCCGCCGGGGCTGTGGGGCCCAGATGCGGGGGGGGGGGGGGGTGTTGTCGTGCCCGGGGCAGACTGGGGGTGGAGGGGGTGGGGGTGACTAAATTAAGGGGGGGAGTCCCTCATCAACCTAATCTCACAGGCAGCGGGGGCTTAGTGGAGGCGGCCTGCATTTCCTCAAATCTGCACCTGTTTAGTTACAACCACCAACTTTCAAGAGGAAATTGCCTACGTGCCTGACGGCTGAAGGACAGAATTAGAAGTACTCTTGACTAAACGTGTGAACACAGCAGTGCCTCCCGTTCAGCCCTAGACCTACAGGGTTGCAAGACTGGGCCTCCTGAGGGCAGAAAAAATTCAAATCCTCCTTTGCCCTTTGGTAAAATATTCTTTCCCAAATCAGGGCGCGCTCTAAAGCTTTCCTTTTTATGTTATCGGTGATGTGCCTTTGTCACTCTTTGAAAGCCCGAGCCAGGGGTAGCCATGTTATGGGGAGGGGACCGAAGAAGAATGCTTATGAAGGGAAAGAGAGAGATGGGGAAGGGGAAATGTGAATTAGGAAAGGAGCATTGAACAAAGAGTAAAGTGATTCACAGGTTATTAGTGAGCCCCTAATGGAGGTGAGGCATGCCTGGGCGCTGGAATGTAAAATCAGTGGCTCCCCAGGGTCCCTACTCCCAAGAGTTTACAGTTGAGAGGGGACATCAACCAAGTAAAGTGAAACACAAGGGAGAATTAGTGCAATGGTTCAACAGCCGGACTCAGGAGCCAGGCCGTCCAAGCTCCCCAGCCAGCTCTGCAGCTTCCTGAGCCAACGGATTGCCCTCAACAGCCTTCATTTTCCTTGTTTGAAAAATGAGAATGGAAAACAATACTTTTTAGGACTTTTCAAAGAACTAAATACATTAATACAAGCAAAGCACTTGAACAATGCCCTGCGGTCCCGAGGCACCCAATAAATATTGTTTAAAAAATGAAGGAAGGAGACACAGGCAGGGCCCAGTACAGCAAGGCAGATTATGTGCCGCTTAACGCCACACATAGCTGTGCGGCGGTAGTCCTGAGTATATCTATTTCAATATTGTCCATAATAGCAAAAAATGGAAATTGAAATGCATTTATAAATAAAATGTACATTCATACAATGGAGTGATATTAGCGCCACTAAAAGGAATAACTTACATCTGTGTCTATCAAAATGGATAAATCTCAAAAATACAGTGAGTGAAAAACAGTTAAGTTGCAAAATGATGCACACAGCATGATGCCATTTATATAAATCATGCACACACAAAAATCCACGTATTTTATATTTATATGTCTTTTTTTTTTTTAATGCTGGAAGAATACACACCAAACTTAAAGGTCTCTCTGGATGGAGGAGGAGGAATTAGGATTTGATATGTGGGTCATTAGGGATTTAATTTATTCCACATTATACTAATTGTTTCAAAGAATGGTGTACATTTATATCATGAAGTTTTGTGGGGGTTTTTTAAGGTAACGATATAACAAATAAAATCAGAAGCAAATATATCAACACTGGCTAATTCTGGGTTGCAAGAATATGAGTGATCATTACTTTTTCATTTGTACTTTTCTGTATATTCAAATTAAAAATAATTACAACCTTGCAGTACAAGTGCTATCAGAGTTATGAAAGGGATGGGCCTGGAGAGCCTGTCTTGGATGAAGCTAGCCTTGCATGCCAAGAACCTCTGGTCACAAAAGAGGAAAGATCTAGCTTTGCAAGACCCCTCTGTTCTGACTGTACCCTGGGGCAGAAATGGGTACCTCTGGCATGCCAGGGCTGGCCCGTGGACTGGGCTGGGGCTTCCCTGAGCATGGTATTGCAGGTGCCTACCCTTTGTAGGTTCCTCCTTCAATCCTTAGGCTCCCTAAAATATGGCATTCTAGTGCCTGCCGGGGAGACAGCTGGCGATGGCAGAACCTCTGAGAGAGGGCATGTGCTGCTCCACGAATACGCCACCTACAATACTGAAAATGCAGTGAGCTACTGAATGTCACACAGCGGGTGAATAGAAAAGGTGGAAAAGGAAAGCATATCCAACTCTCATCTGTGGATGCCTGCTCTTCTTCTCAGCCTCTGCTGAGGACACTTTTATGGGTAGTGCCCTCTCTGGAAGCAGCTCAGTGTAATGGTCAAGATTCCAGGCTTTGCAGACACTCAAATCTAGACTATCATTTGGGGCAAGTTACTCAACTTCTCTGAGCCTCTGTTTTCTCTTTTGTGAAATGGGGATAGTAACAACAGTGCTGGGGGTACAGACTGGGAGCCCTCAGTCAGTTGTGGCTAGGTGTGGATCAGGAAGAGAAGTCTTTTGATAACAGAGACTGTTTTAAAGAGATTTTTCTTATTCTGTGGCTGTCCTTTACCCTAGTAAAGGGTTAAATGGCTGGAGAAAAAGGATGAAAGCCTTTTGCCTCAGTCACGTGGGACTGAACTTGATATTGACATTCTAAGAGAGTTTTAGGCCTAGGAACAGTTGTTTCAAGAAAGCCCATTACCGCCCCCCCAACACACACTTAAAGAACCCATTGTTTTTGTTTCTTAATAGCCAGAATTATCCACTCAAAGACCCCATCTCCAAACAGGATGCTCTTACATTTAAAAAAATCACTTGGACACCAGTGCCTTCTGAAGGAAGCAGACGGAACTTGTGATTAAATGAAACACACGAAGAATTCCTTCTTTCTCCCTTGGTTGCTTTCTCTCCCTGGCACCCATAAACAAAAGCGTCTAAGGCATTTTTAATTCCGTCGTGCTGAAACTCCATGATTTAAACCTGATTCCCAGCTGCTCCTTTAGAACGGGTTGCACAAAATGTTGTTCAGTCCAACCAGCCCCCCGGGAGGGGTAAACACGTACCACGGGAGGGTGGGACGTGCAGAACGTCAGGGGAGCAGAACCAAGCAGAGTTAAGCATGTGCTGTGACTAATAAAGGAGACCTGGGGTGTGGCTGTCATGAGAGAAGTCACCTCCCCACAGGGCTCCAGTACCTAAAAACGTTGGGGAAAACAACGAGTGATTCTCAGGCAGTATTTACCCAGCCAGGGTGAATGTGGCTTTAGTTATCATATTCATGCTTTTCCAAGCTGCCCTCCTGTGTTTGTGCAGGAACGGGGTGCTGCCGCAGGAAGTCTAAATGATCCCTCTGGGGTAAGCCCCATATCTAGGAAGCCAGCAGCCCAGCCCACAGCAAGACAGAAAAGCTTCCGCCCTCGGCCCTGGCCTGAGCAGAGATGCCCAGGCATTTCCCCAGGCATCCCAGCCCCACACCCGTCCCTGTCGTGTTCCCAGGGTTGGGCTGGGTATGTAGGAAGCCTCCTGGCACAGAACATCATCACTAGCATGGGTAACCCTTCCTCTACATTTCAGGACAGCACTGGCCCCTTCACCAAATGCAGTTTGTATTATTTCTCAGAGTACTGGTGGTGGGGATAGCATTTTTAGTTTTTGTTTGTTGGCTTGTTTTGTTTTTTTGCTTTTTGGTGTGGTTGTGTTGTTGTTATGTGTTTTTTTGTTGTTGTTGTTTTGTTTTGTTTTGTTTTTTGGCTGGTACAGAAGTAACACACGTCGGTTGCAAAAAGAAACCTAAAAGAAATAGAAATATATGAAGAAGGGAATATCATCCACCCCTGTGCTGGGTGGAAGAGTGTTCCCCTGCTCAAATTCATGTCTCTCTAGAACCTGTGAAAGTGATCTGTGAATGGAAATAGGGTCATTGCAGATGTAATTAAGAAGAAGTCATACTACGGGCGCCTGAGTGGCTCAGTCGGTTAAATATCAGACTCTCAGGTCATGATCTCAGGATCATGGGTTCGAGCCCTGCATCAGGCTCCACGCTCAGGGCAGAGTCTGTTTGGAATTCAGTCTCTCCCTCTCCCTCTGCCCATCCCCACCCCCCCCAAATATAAATAAGTAAATCTTTAAAAAAAAAAAAGGTAGTCATATTAAACATAATATGTCTGGTGTTCTTGTAAGAATAAGGGATTTGGACACAACACACAGGGAGAAGGCCATGTGCTGACAGAGAGAGACTGAGGGGCTGCACGCAAACCAAGGAACAACAAGGATGGCTGGCCCCCAGCAGAAGCTAGGAAGAGACAAGGAAAAATCAAGAGCTGTAAAAGAGAACACAGTTCTGCTGACCTTGATTTCAGACTTCTGGCCTCCAGAACTATGAGACAATAAATTTCTGTTGTTCTAAGCCACCCAGCTTGTGGTACTCTGTAATGGCAGTCCTTGGAAACTGACACAACCCCAAAACCCACCACCCCCAGAGATAAACAATATTAATATTTTAATGTATGTCCTTTGATTCTTTCTATAGTCAAATGCATCTCATGAAAGAGATGGCCAGTTTTTCTCTGGGAAAATTTCAGCGATCCCTCTCCTCATTGACTTCGGGCATCCATTGCTTTTTCAAATAACTAAGCAGCTGAGAGCATACTGAGGAATATCCCCGGACTCCTCCCACTATACCCCCAAACTCAGAGCCCAAGGCCCTAAAAAGTCCCTGGCGTCGCCTCCAAGTGAC